TAACTAATGATGGTGATGAATACAAATATAATTTTTCTATGATACAAACAAGTACCTTCTTAGAGTAAATAGAGTTCTTAGAGTCTTCTGATGTCAGTTTAAAATAAATGCAAACATTTCCAGACGATAACAACCAGTTGACGAAAATTCAAACGCACTAACTACAATGACTTAAAAATATCAACCAGATTGAAATAATGAAATATTTAGATATTATGTATTTTAATTTATATTTAATTTAACTTTTAAGTTTAAAGCATTTTCGTGGTTTTAAGTGTTTTAACTGTCATATAAAAATTATGAAGTAAAAAGTGACAAGCGTTATCAATTATCATAGACATAGCACACGTGCACACGATTTATAGACCTAACCTTGGAGCTTGTATAGATTAGTATATCAAAGATAGGTACTATCACTGAGTAGCACTATGACAATACTACATACTATACCTAGGTATACGGATGTATACACGTTACATTGGTAAACATCAAATAATTTTAAGGTTATAAAATATAATATCATTTATCATTGATAAAATTATATGATAGTTATATCAAACCTTAGATTATATCTGAGTATCAAACGGCATACCTACTGTAGTACTTTGAACTGACTACTGTTTACTGTAATAAATTGATAATTCGATACCCGGATTATTAAGGTCGTACAACGGAAGCACTTTTAGTATTATTCACTGTTGACATTTTATAAATTAACACCAATATTCAGATGTCGATAGCTCCTTCAATTATTATCACATAAATGTAAATGAACCGTCAAAATTCATTAAAAATTAAACTGTGCACGAATCATATTTCAAAAATATAGGTTCCCATTTGAATTTTAAAAGTTGACCCTCAAACCTCCCCATCCTAATTAATAAAAAAAATATTTAATATCAAATTAATTTAGATTATATGATTCAAAACAGTTTTCACATGGGTCATTTTCCCCTAATTTAAATATATCATGCTGAAATCTGCTGTCACATGAAATTTGGAACACCCTGTATATGCCTTGATCCATTTTTTTCTCTATAGAGAATAATGTACATATTAAATTTAATAGTTAAACGCTTTGTTAGGCATTTAGTTAGTACATAATTTAACAATATTTATACATGTGGGTGTTAGAAAGTATGGTGAAGTCTGAGACACTAAGTTGGTTACGGCTTCGTTACATTTTCTGTGGCGTAGTTGATTCTTCCCTTAAGAGTTAATATAGGTTGGAATGGAATATAATGAATAGTTTATCATAAAGTGGGAAGGACCACTGAAAGAGACTAATGATAATAAATTGGGGGCATCGAGGGTACATTTAGCAAGGGAGAAGACTAATGCTTGGTCCACAATAACATGGCAGGAAGTTATTGAGGCAATATAAAGAATTGAGCAGATATATGTATAGTTGTAAGATTGATTTTCGATAATTAATCGATAGTATACACGAAAAAGAAACTGATTTTTAACTCGTGTTCAATGCGAAGTTAGTGACAATATTAGTAAGGGTGCCAGACAACTATAGGTACTTTGTAATATAGAATCGACAATACCAAACAGAAGGAGAGAGTAAGGAAACAGGTGGCAAAGGTGAAAAACGTAGTATTAAGCTCCATGAACCATAGAATAATTTGAGCTGATTCTTTTGATTTTATATCTGAAAAAGATAGAGAGGTTTTAAAATTAAAATATATGTATATAATCTAAGTATTAATACAATTAAGAAAATTATTAACAAATGCATACTTGAACAGTTGAACCTGTGGGTAAGAGGTAATCTTTTAATTGGAAACCACGAGGCAAACGAATTACTTTTTGGTTTGATCTTGACAACGAAATGCATTGATATATTATGAAACTGTTGGTCTCTTCCGACTGTTTCCTTCATATAATTTCCAATCATTTGTCCTTTTTTTATTCGTAGGCACACCTATTACTTCAATATATGCCGTATGCACTCATCCCCGGGGCATTAATTGAATATACAAATATTAATATGAATGAATATTTTTTTTTCGTACGGTGGTCCCCAGTATTTATATAAACATGTAAATTGGTACACCAATTATAAAAGGTTGGACCTCACTTATGTATATAATTATAATTCTATAGTTGTTGTAAAAATATTTACATAACATATTATTTAAGAAAATGCGAACACTTGAAATCAATGCTCAAAATTTAGTTTAGGTTTTTGAGATATAGAAAACACTGATAATAAATAATACATTCTCATATAACTATAAGCTTTTGTTGTGCTTTAGAATTTTTAATTATATTCTACGTCCATCTAGGTTTCAAGGCAGTAGGTTGTAGATATTTATAGACTAGGTAGTTAATTTTTTACTTTGTCCATTATTGTATCCATGGTCAATAGATGCAAGCCTTTTAAAAATTTACATAAAAACAATATTATCGTAATTATGTTTAGTATAATATGTTAATCCAATTATATCATCATAAGATTCTCGAAATATTAATTATAAAACTTCAGAACTTAATAATAAAATGATGTGATAGTAATCTTACTTGGACAGGTTTTTCAATTTTCAAGCTGTGGGTTTAAAAAGTACATTTAATCTGATGGGTATTAGCCGTAGAAAAAAGAAAACGTCGGATGGTTTTCAATTAGTGTTGGGTATTGCAATTTTTGTTATTTGTGCTATTGTTGTTCGGGAATTTCGTTATTGTATTTTTATTGGCATTTTCCCAACTTTTGGAAAAGTCATAATCCCATCAAGAGTTTTTATTGCATGAAACACTAAAGTCTTAAAGCTGTACTTATTATATACTTATGTTTTGTCACACGTCAAAAGTCACAAAAATGTGAGGTTTTCCTAAAAACGAGCACAAAGTGGTTATTAAAATCACATGTTGAATATGGACTTAACCATTCTCTAATAAAAATATTCTTATTTAGTAACAAACAAAGGAAAAACTTTTTTTTAATAAGTTGTCACCTTTCAGCCCTAAATGGGCCTACCTCAGTAGTCGGTATCCACTGGCTAATGTGAATACTCACTGCGGTGACCTACAAGCCGCGTCGCGTGATGTCCGTGAAGACTAGTTGATGGAGCTTGTAAGTTTTGTAATAATAATTAAAACATTTAATTATTATATTAATTAAAATATATATGACAAAACAGTGTTGGGTAAAAAGAGTGAAATTTAAACCTAATAGTATAATAATAATGCTTTTAAGATTTTTCAGAGAGTAATTAAAAATATTTTTTTTCATTTCATTTTTGGTGCATATTAGATTCTATCAGGAACGAAAGAATGTATTGATTTTAAAATGGTGTGTGTGTGTGTTTTTTGTCTGTCAACAACATTTTGAATAGTAAAAATGCTTCGATTTATAATAAATTCAACGGAAAGTTACCCTATTTATAGCCATGATATATTTAATATTTTTATAAACAGTTTTTTGAACTATTAAATTTGATTATTTATACAAGTATGACACAACGTTTCCGCTCAGAATCATTTTTCGTATACAATGATTTACCATTGAAAACGAATATAACACATCCATTACAACAATATGCTCGATAACTACTGTACAGCGGAGCGGTACACACTTGTTCACCTTTTTTTAGTATATTCTATGTAAATTTCAGGCTTTTATGCCGAATATTTGGATATGTATAATAGAGGTTTTATAGCATATATTTAGCGGTCTTCACAAATGTGTAATGACTAATGAGTGTGACACCCAATACACTTTGACAAATGACAGGGATGGACAAAGGGTCGTAGTTGTTTGGCCGTTGTGACATTAAACAAGTGCGAGTCGGACTCGCTTACGAAGGGTCCCGTACCATCATCTATAAACATGTTGGCAACACTGCTTATATTATATATTTTAGAATTTTTAGTATTTGTTGTTATAGCAGCCACAGAAATACATAGTCTGTGAAAATTTCAACTTTCTAACTTTCATGGTTCATGAACCTAACCTGCCTGGTGACAGACGGACGGACAGCGGAGCCTTAGTAATAGTTATACCGTACTGAACCCTAAAAAAAACGATATTTATTATTAAAAGTTTATTTTATTGTTATATTGATGAAATTGTTTTATAGGATAAAGATTAAGGAAAGTTTAATACCGTGTGGAGTATCGAAATTCAGTGACTTGAAAAGACTCTGTAGGTACTTATAACTTATGAATTGTTGACGTTTTATTTAATTCCATTGGTCTAGTGGTGTAGGTTGCGACCAATGACAGTATACAATTATGGCTATATATAAATGATATATTTAGTCTATATATTATTATTCGTACAATGACGGATTAAATCGTGGTTGGTATGGTAGGAGAGGGATTTCCTCTCTACCATAGATCCCACGGTCACACAGACAGACCTCGACGTTGTTATTCTAACATGATGAACTAGTTCATTATTTTTTGTTTCGTATAGCTCACTTATAATAATATTAAAAAATGGTTATGGCACTATCGCTTACGTGTTGTAAATACCTACGCACACGCCGTAGGAGTCTTTTTCACTGGCTAAAAGTACCATAAAAATTAGTTATCATAATTATAGTTTTTCCAACATGGAATTTTACTACCGACTGGCGACTCACCATGTTACCTCGGTGTGACCCACGAAAGAAGTTATAATTATGTTATACTATGCATCTGACCATGGTGTATCATTATAAATAACGATGCCAAAATGTTATGACTATTGTCTTATGATAAATCATCTAAATCGCCTTAGGTGACTTCACAGTGCCAATTATTTAACACCGTTGCTTAGTACATAATGTACCTATATAAATCTGACCTGTGGGCTGTGACAATTGACTACTGTATTAAACTATAAGTGTAGAATGTGTCTTAGATATATATTCATACATATATAACGGTATAATGGTAATGCCCATTGGCCAGTGGCGAGCTCAGCTTTTTTGAAAGAGAGAATGCATATGTTGCAGACATCGGCATGATGCCAATTCTTTATCCGGTCAACTCTAGCGGCTACCATGCGTTTATCTGTAAACCGACCAGTGAACTCTTTGACAGCAACCGCCATGACCATTGACCAGTGACATAGTAACCGCAGATACACGATTTTCGTCTATACACTGGCGGTGGATTGTCTCAAGAACATTTCCTGGACCTTCAACCTTCGCCGTCAAATCTGTGATCAGCAGTAAAGCTGTAGCACAATTAACGGGGTGGTTGTCCTGACAGGTGGTTATTTCGGCGGAAGAATTCCAATACGTACGCAGTAGTTGACGAGGTCTAAGCAGCAATGTGGTGCCCATCTGGAAATCGACAGGATAGTAATTATAAATTTATTGCATTTCAAATACACTCCTTTTCAGGACTAACACCAGTCCCCCCTGTAAGACCCAATAAGACTCTAAGTTTTCCTTATTTGAGTATAAATCTCTTGGATCGGCCACTGGGGTACAGACTTCCGTGACGTCTGATTTTCTCCCACCAGCTTTTAATCTAAAATCATGTAATACATCATTCTATATTTATCTGTATGTATGGGTATGTACCAATATATTATAACCAACCAACCCACTTAATCAAAGCCTCGGTGGGTGGCCCTCTTTTCCCACCTTTAGATATATCGTATATTATAACAGTATACATTTTAGTAAAAAAAAAAGATCATAAAAAATTATCTGTTGAAACAAAATATTGACTAGGTATCTCATACATGAGCGGTATGTATTATAGCGTTACACACGTGTGCCGTATCATAATATTATTATTACACGGGAATAACCTGTAATAAATATCTGACCGGGCCACACTTGCCATCGGACCTTATGGCCTATACCATTTCACTTTATATTATAATCGTGTTAAGACCTTACCTCATAATATGACGACAAGCAATTTAATAGTGTAAGCTTGAAATATGTCACGAATTTGATGAATAAATACATTTATCCGATTATCTTTTATTATATAAAATATTTTATTATTTAAGCGTTATAACACTACAAGCACTTTTTTTTTTTGCTGTACTAAAACATTGGGTATAAATTATTTGACAATACAAATTACATAATTATCTTAACATAAACTAAAACATTAAAGTGGATTAGTGAAAGCGAAAATAAAGAGTAACGTATTGGTAGTTGCCCATAATACAATGATCATGTGGACATCGTTTTCTCTAGTTAACAATATTATTATTTACAAATTTGAAGAATAATCTTTATTGTTGTAAAATGTTGAATTCATAAGCTATATAATATGCGAGTTGTAGTTTAAGTGAATCTGTTCTCCCAATCTTATTATTATTATTTTTTATCAGATTGGGAAATAATTTGCTACATTTGTAGGTATATAATTTTCAAACAAAATGGTTTTTTGTTGCCTTACATCACAAAAGCAGGGTCCTGGAAAACTGAATGTATACACCAAGTTTACCGTTTTACCACAGAGTTCACAACCTACGGATATGTGTAATTCAAACTTCAAAATTGAACAAAAGTGTAATTTTGTTATAAAACTGAACGATTAAAATGTAATACTTTGATCACGACTAAACTCTTTTAGACTTTAGTTTCTTAGGGCTATGTTCTCTATCTAGCCGTATGGTACACATTAATTGACGCTTTCTACAGAAGTACAGAACCTAATTAATGGTACCTAATATTGGTTATTTTTCGAAACATGGTTCCTTTTTACGTTCTTCAGTATAATACGAACTATGCTGGATATAGTCCACTTAATCAGACTAATTTCCCTAAATCTTTTTTAATAAATTAGAATATTATAAGAATATTAATTGAGTTACATTATTGCGTTTTTTCAGTAGGTATTGTTATGTAAAATGTTTTTGTGAAATTAATTATAACTAAAAAATTTTACATTGTATTTATTATTTAATATTTTATTGTTGTTTTCCTGTCATAATATTTATATATTGGTTTATCCTGTTATACATTTTTTGTATATAAAAAAATATCTCGACTGTCTCGGAATGGCCAATAAAAAAGTTAAACTTCAAATTTATGCGTCAATAAATATAGTAAATACATATTTATTAATATTTTTAAAAATATTTTTTTTATTTTATTTAAGGCACGGATAATTTGTCCAGGTTGTTATTCTTTTCTACTGTCCATTTCTGTGCAATAATTACCTATATACTTATTAAAACTACAAACGTAGTAATTAAAAATTTGAATACAAATAGTGTTTAAACTTCTAATAGGTAACTGATTAAATAAAATTAACGATACAACAGCTGGATCATCTGATCAATTAATAATACAATCCATTATAGGCAATTGAATAATTATTACTATAATAGCATTATAGAATAATGGATCGACCACGGCAATATATTATAATATGGGGTCGTTGGTTATAGGTACCGTCTGTGCCCATCAATAACGAGATATTAAACGGATTTTGTGTACCATGGTCCTAAGTGTAGTCCTGGTACCACAACCCGTCCAGATGCATATTCCTGGTCCTTCAGGGGTTAGGTAAGCTAGCAATAGAATAGTATACCGGCTTTATATAACTTCCGGTGCGTTTGGATTTACTTCCGAAACGCATTTTCGTGACGGTCAGCTGTCTCTCTCTGGTTTGTCTTGAAAAATTAATTTGCTAAATATAATATATCAACGGTTAAAATTCAACATTTAATTAGTCACGTTAAATAATGTAGTGCATATTGTGCTAATTCATACATACCTACTTACCATGGAGTGGGTATAGTGCCCTGTATATTAGTGCAAAAAACAAATTTGAATTTTTGTATTGGACTGGGCTGTTGAAACATATGTCACACGTCGTGTATATTTACAATATATAGCATACCTTTTCATAAAAGTGTATAACACTTCCCTTGCCAATTCTCTTAATACGATTTTAATATTTAAAAAGTTCCTTTCATACGTGCCGCATTCGTTTTTTTTTATATCCTATTCTCTGAGGTATGGAAAATACAACCTGTTTATTGTCTTCTAGGGTCAAGGGTTTCGGACTTAATATAATCGATTTTTATGCAATAAAACTAATAACATTCTACTAAAACGGAAGCATCTATAATTAAAATTTACAAATACGTCATGTACGATTGAATGATAATAATAATAACAACAACAATTAACTGGTATACAATGTATGTATGTTTTCAATAATTTCCGCTTGCCCGAATAATACACGGGGGTAACATATATAAAACATAAATACATAATATCACTGTATCTAATATATCAATTGATTAGTATAAACTTATCGTGCTTGATTTTGTGAAGTGTGTAGTACCTACAGGGATTACGAAGAAACATTGGTGGTACAATTTTTTCGCAGAATTAAAAATATCAATGATTTAGGTAGGTACCTATACACTTTGTTATCGATATAATAATATATTATATAGTTATGTTTAAGTATCGTCTTTGCCTAAAATTGTTCGTATGATTAATGACTAAATTAACAATGTGACTGCCATAATGAATTAGGTCTGTAGTGGACATTCTATAATATTACGATCGATTAATTTTAAATCGCAGTCACGATAGTTACGCCCTTATTACGACAAAGTACTTATACCAATATAATTAATATTATACGTACTGATAATCGAAAATTATTATTGGTTGGTGGAATACATATAGGTAGATAGGTAGGTAGCCAAAGTTTTGACGGTGGTCGTGGCTCCATCGTAATAATAATTACGTACCTAACCGTTGTTATATGCCGATGAATATTATATAGTCGAGATTTGATCGAGGTAATTGGAAGTTGAATAATAGCCACATCCTTTCAGAATAAAAAGTTTTTGAAGCCATCCCCAAAACGGTCAAGCTTCAATTATGCTAAATTGTGGGTTCGCTGAAACTTTTAGTACGCGAGTAACCATAAGTTTAACCTTATTAATAGATATCTTACTAATCCATAATTTCTTTACATTTATTTTTGGATTTTTTAGAATTAGTTACGTTGATACAATTATTTTCTCGTCAAAATGCTTTGAACATTTGAATGATATGCTACTAACACAATTGTCTTATAAATTTAGTTTAAAAATATCTAAAACAATTTTTTTAAAGTGTTTAAACTGTGAATAATATCACAAAGATTTGTGAATTTTTATGTAGTTATTAATTGAAAACATTTTCAATTTAAATATGAAAAGCTTGACGAGTATGACAAGGTTTTTATACATATTTTTTGTTACTTATAGCGTAGCGTATATTATTTCCAAGAAAAAGTTATAAAAATATCTTTACTATGTATTGTTTGCGATTTGAATTCACTATCTGTTTATCCGTCAGACGACCAACACGAACCTACCTGTCGTACGAATTATATTGTTATTTTAAAAAACTGATAACATTCCTCACCGAATTAAATCAATCTACAATGTCGTCTATCGTCGTATCTGAAGAAAACGCAATCGTACCGTCGTCGGGACTTGTAAAATCGCTGGCAGAACGACTTTTGAAAAACGTGTACACCGAGCTGAGGAACTGCTCAACGGTGGTGACAATAAACTCTGTCAGCTAATGACGATAATAACGTCAGCAGCCCTGCGGAAAAGCCGGACGTCGCAAGGCAGATGCGAGCTGGTGACGTCAGTCTTAGGTCTGAAACGTCATTTGGCGCAGTCGGCGACTGCATTGAACCAGCGGATCCGTCAAGCCGCTGCGTCAGCTTGAAAACGTTATGCTACGTCTCGCTGGCTACAATGGCAGGTCGGCCGACTGCAGAACATTGCCGTAGAATTTTCTTCGGCGGACGTAGAGACAAAAGAACAGACTATCGGTCGAGTTTTGGTTCCTGTCGATGAGACGGAACAAGTTCACCGGCTCGAACCTAAAGCCGCGTATACATGTGCGAGCCGAACCTACCGCGAACCACTCGCGAACCAATAACTCGCAAACCGTTCGCGCCGATCCATCGATAGTCGGTTTTTTCCACGAACACTTCGCGAGCGGTTCGAGGTAGGTTCGGCTCGCACATGTATACGCGGCTTAAGGAACGCGAACAGGCTGAACCCTGTAAACGCAGGCGTTCGCAGTGGAAGAGGACCAAACGATTTTTTCAAAGGTTACTGTGTTGGGGCCGTTAGTAAGTCAGGCGAAAATTGTATGTACCTATTGAACTAAAATTGTTTTGTATTGTATATTTAAAATATTTTGTACCGTTGTATTATGTAGATATCATAAATCAATGATTCATTTAATAAGTAAATTTCAATATCCCTGGATATCTTAACTTTTATATTGGTTTACATATCTTTAAATATCATTACATATCATACAAACTGTCAATTTGGTACCTATCTATTAATATCTTAGGAATATTATTATTATATCATGTGAATCTAAATAATATTTATCATCCAAATATATCTAGGATATTAAAAAGGAAAATGTTACTATTTAAAAAATAATAATTATCGCAATGTCTTTTAAAATTAATATGTCTTTATTGACTTTATGTCTGTGTTGTAAATCTCTAAAGACACTTGGTTTTGTGTTATAAATAATAATTGTACATATTTCATTTAATTTCTATGTATTAAATGCTTATATTATCAAATTTGTAGTTTCTAATACAATTAATTTTGATACATGTAAAATAAAGTATTCAGTATTCATTTTTGATAAGGCTCATAATCAATAAATAATAATAATAATATACAAATGATTATAATACGCACAGTATAGTATAATATTAGTCCATATCCGGGTTAGTTAAACTTTGTTTATAACCATAGCATAATAAACATATTAAAATGCCACAACTGGAATAGGTAATTGCAAAAAACCAAACATTAAGTGGTTTATTTGGAATCAGAATAACATAAATGAATTTATGTGTAAAAATTAGATTTTTATCTGGCATATAAAAAATAAGCATAATATGCTTTAAAATCTATGTTTTATAATGCATTATATTGTAACATTGCCATATCTAACACCTCTCTTTGTCATTTGTCATTTGTATATAGTTTTAAAAACTTTAACTGTAGGTATGTAACTTGTAATTAAATAAAAATAATATGTAACTTGTATAATACAAAAATGTATACCTACCTAGAATATAAGATTTTTATGCCTTTTTCAAATGTATTGTATAACTATGAATTACACAAATAAACGTGTATTGTTATCTATTTAATATGTTTTTTATTAAGTATTATTAAACTATTTGTTATTATATAGAATGCGTCAACACGCAAGTGGAAAATTAGTTTATGTGGCTTGTGAACATCGTGACTATAATATTATTGTACTGAAGGTATACTTTTGTTTTTTTTTTTTGTAACCTATATAAAGATCTGTTTTTTCGAGATTTAACAAAAAAAAAAAATTGAAAAATTCATAATTTGTCTTTTATAGCTCAAATATTTGAAAATATTTTGACAATTTTCGTTATGTACAGAAAATTCTTATGTGAATATTTGGTAGGTAAAAATTTTAAGTAATAACATTACCATCTGCGGTTATTTGTTTTTGAGTTAGCTATACACCAAAAAAACAGTATAGATTTTGAAGAAAACTTACCCGTTTGTTTAGGTATATACTAAACAAATATTATGACCTGATCATCAGTATGGTGCTTTCTGGGTCACAGATTGGATACCTGTGCTGAACAGGTTGGAAGCACTAGAAGTGACGACCGAAAACCAACTGCTTATTATTATCCGTGCTTGCATGCCACACCTGAAATTTTGAGATATTTCCATATTATACTATGCAATATGTAGTTTTTAAAGATTTTTTCAATATTATATTTTATTTGTCATTTTGAAATATTTATATTGTAAACATTTTTAATTTACTTAAACATAACTTTTGATAATATAATACAACTAAGATTTATAATCATATTATTGATTGTATAATAATTTAATTTTAATTTTTAAATTTTCTATTTTAATAATTTATACTATACTAACTGACCCGACGGACGTTTTCCTGCATGATATTTCAATCATGTCTCAATGCATTAGCTCGACGGCGTTCGTTTCGTAGCTCTTTACTTTCATTAGCACGTGTGATTGCAGTCTGGTTTCTTACATTTTCATTGTCCGTCAATTGATCTTCTGCCGATCTATTTAATCGATAGTTATGGACTAATTGTGCATTCCTAGTCCGTAGACCAATATTTCCTCTTGCTTGAAGGGGCATTGTTTTATGTACGCGTTGATGTACTAAACTACTTATAAAATTCTTTATTGATAAAGATTCATTTTATAAAAAAATTAAAAATTTTCGTTGGTTTTAATTATATTAACGTTGTTCATAAATTATTTCTAATTATTTCTGATTTCACGGCAACCAATATTTATTATTATAATAGCTTTAAAACCCATGGCAACCATTTATAAACAAAAATATCCATCATAAATCTCAACGTTTCCGTTTGAGCACCTCCATGAAATGGGCCTACCAGGTCCGATTGTGAATCTAAAACATTCCAGGGCTCACTAAAGCATACCCAAAAAATGTCATCTAAATCGGTCCAGCCGTTTAGGAGGAGTTCGCTTACAAACACACGTACAGTAGAATTATATATATAAAGATATTATACTACTTATATTACGCATATAGCTTATATTTATAATAATATTATATACTTTATGTATATAATAATACAAAGTGTCCGAGTTCTAAAAATTAAAATGAATATTTTCACTCGATCGTACGAAGTATCCGCGTTGTACAATGTACCTCTTCACCTGACAGTACAAAATGTCTGAGTTTCACACTTTTAATGTTTGACCGTACAAAAGTGACCTAGAACCAAAACAAATAGATCCTTCGCTCGGCTCAAAATCTAATAATGATAGTTGATAATATCAAATAATCAATTCAAGTCATTTTTATTCTACTTTTTATTTAAACTATAAAACAATGTTATGAATCAGTTTAAATTATTTATTTTATTTTATCACTGTGTTGTTATCATTGTGTGTCTTACCTTTACATTTTTTCTGACGATGGGAATGGGTAAAGTTGACGGAGTGATCGTTTACAAAAATACAGTACAAATCAATTGTAAAACGAATTGCCTGTTATATAATATTATCCCTATCAGTGATAAATAATAATATTGTTTATGGCTGGTGAAATCAATAATCACGATAAAGAAAAATAGCAAAATAAAAATAAAAATAATAACTATCAAATCAATATTGAAAACACAAACACATATGAAAAGTAGACAAAACGTGTATTACTAATATGTAAGAAAATAAAGAACTTGGGAGGGGATCTATCCCCTCCCGTAAGAACGCCCATGTGGAGTTTAACATTAATTCGCAGGGGCGGATTGGGGAGAGATTCCGGCCCGGGAAACGGAAAATACAAAGTATACCGGCTTACCAATTTACCAAATATTTAATTTTAGCCAACATAATATTATTATGTATTACTATTTTAACATAACTACACGTTTGGCAAGATATGAAATTTATAAAACTTTATTCGTAGTGTATATACATCGATATCAAATTTATTTTTATTTTTGAACAGTTTATGTTTACACATTTATAATAGTCCAAACTCCAAGTACTTATATATAACACAGTAAAAGTGAATAATTTAAATTACTAATGTTACGATTTTTGTATTTAATAAGAAAGGTTATTACCTATTCAATAATATTGAATAATGCGTTTTTAGACTTAAATAAAATCTTATAATTTACTTCCACTTAATATACCTGATAGGTAAATTAACAGAATCAACATGCAAAATGTATGTGTTTTTTTTTATTTTCTAAAAAAATGTTTTACTGTAATTATTATAATTATTATAATTATTTTACTTTATTTATTCATAACATTATGTAGGTACTTCAATTCTAAACAATCAGAAAAATTGTATAGTCTTGTTTTCCTTTAGTATTATTATGTAATATAATATTGAGTAAAATGTTTTGTCTCCGTCTTAGTACAATCTAACAAATTATCGTCCACTATCTGTATTCACCGATCAGCCGAAACGATATAATAATAATATTTAGCTGTAGTAACTAAATATTATAGAAATTATTGTATACCTACGTAATGTTACTTCCCTATTATTCAATAATTTATAAATTCGCCTAAACGATCGGTTAATTTCTGACCCAAATGATATATGCTTTACTCAAGTTAATTTTGGATTATTCGCCCAAACGAATGACGCTCAATTTTTTTACACCCGAAATACGTGTACTACTGTATTAGTATACTGAATTTAAAAGTGTATAAAACAATTTTCGGAAATTTAAACACTGTTCAAAAGTTACAGCAAATCATAGTTTTTGAATATTACAGTGCTTACTGCTCAAATCAGGTTGACTTTTTCTATTTTCTACTTCCACGGGATGTCAAGTAAAGTAGACTTTTTCCGAAGTTTGTCGTTACCTAGAGATCATCCAATGTGGTTTTACATAACATATCAAGGGTTGTTTTCGATTTTAACTGTCCTAACTAGTGACCCCGCTATATTAGGTACATTTGCTGTTTTTGCTTTTCGAAAAATACTATATTTTTGCTTTCTGTCTCTCATCGTTGCGCCATCATAGATTGCCTACCTGATATACCTACTAAGTACTATTGCATACTGTCCGCAATCCAATTCGTATTATCTTATTTTGAAAAATCGGGGAAAAAAATGCAAATTTACTGGGCTGGTACCTAATAGGAATTTAAGAATACATAGTTATTTTAAAAAGCGGCCCACCGGGAAAACTCCCGAATTCCCGGTGGCCCAATCCGCCCCTGTTAATTCGTATTATTTATTCCAGTTACCTATACTCAATGACTAGGTACACTCAAAATTAAAAACC